GTTAATTTACAAACAAAATCTGCGGTTATGTGGTGAGGCGGCGGCGCCCACAAAATCGCGTCCGTCCCACGCGACCGAAAAGTGGAAAAGGGGCGTCGTCGTGAATGTGTTAAGGTTCATAACATGGGATGTGGAGCACCTTTATTTCTTCTTATGTAAAACAAATAAACGAAATGTCGATGTTCGAGCCCTTCTGTCTACAATGAACCTCGTGATGCAGCTCATGGATGAGCAAATTCTATTCGTCAGTAATTCTGGACTTCAACTCGAAGCTGCTGTTTCATGCTCGCTGCTCCTTGCTTCAGCACTTTTTGTGTGAATCTTTTTTCTTTTTTGAACTTGATAGCTGCTCATCGCTCTAGATGCCCTCTTTGAGCAACATTGCACTCCATTGACGTAGAGTGCGATATTCTGTTTTACAGGGCTAATGGGTCGCTTGCGCCTATGATGTTAATCGTTCATGTTGCTTTGTTTAACAATGCTATTTAATGGTGATCACTCTTTGTATCATGGAAATCTTTTTTTTTCAAGAGTGTGCAAGTTCCCGCAAAAAGGAGGGACACCATCGCAATGAACGAGGAGAAGAAAGTCGAAGGAACGATCGAGATGAACGGAATCGACGGCGACGAGATTCTCCACGCCGAAGGTGAATTCGCACGGCGTTTTTCGTTATTTTTCCAGTTTCTCTATCATGTTAGTTGATACTTCCTGTTATATTGAGTTTTTCGCCTTCTAAAATCTGCTCTACCGATTTCAAGTTCAAATGGATAATGATTTTAGGCACGATTCTTCCTCACGGTCACCAAGAAAGGAGCGACAGCGTTCGCGTACAAGGTCGAGATCACCACGTGACAGAAGGCGATAATCTAGTGGTTGACTTGCTGCCGTTGTATAATACCTCTGTGATGTCACAATGTGAGATCTCGTTGTGATCACTATAAAATGAGTGTGCACATAGCTGCTTCAAAAAACCTTTGTACATGAACTATTATTACAGTTTGAGCTAAGTGAGTGTACGACAAAGGTACCAAGGTACCTCCACCCTTCTTATTAGCAGTGTATTTACAAATTGAATACTAACGTTTGTCGGACTTCAAACAAATAAAGAGATCTGCCAATGTATTGGTGCAATTCTTTGGAAAACATTACAGTAAGAAGTCAATGCTATTCTGAATGAAGATGGCTTTTCAGAGAGTTTCCGACTTTGGGGCCATACTGACAACTCCTGCAATTTTAGTAATCAGGCTGTCATCATAATTTTGAATCTTTCGTTTATTGCTGAAGAAATCCCTTAGAAAATGGTGAGTCGTACAAGAAGCTAGCACCACGAGTGAACTTTCTGACCATTACCAGCGCAGCATCGACTGCTAGCCTTTTCATTGGCAGCACTTCCATTCCTGAGCTCACTGCATCACTACCAATTTGGAATCAGTGAATAAATTCGCCAAGGAATCGAATATAAGATGGGCCGGACACTTAATGCGATTTTGTGATAACTGTTGGACAAGAGCGGTTGCCGACTGGATCCCTTGGGACGTCAAACGAACACCTGGACGGCTGCCGGCCCGATGGTCAGACTTCTTCACGAGAGGAATGAAGCACTTCGTGCTCCTCGAGCGAGGAGAATTCGCTGGACAATTCTTGCGCGCGGTAGGGACGGGTGGAGACGTTGCTGGCGCCCGCTCGAACGATTCACGGATGACAGTGACTGGTTGGTCTTTCCAATAGTCAAGCAAATTACAAAGATCAACCGGAAGACAGTAGAGGGCCCACTCCCTCACTCCACGATGCACCTGTAGTTTACTCAGAGTTCGCTTTCTTATTTGATAATCACCCCGCAAATGGTAGTTTTACTGCTCTATCCGCCCCCATTGAAAAGGGATTCGTAACCGAGGTTATTTGCCAGAGCGCTTCTGGCGATAAGATGACGGTACTGAGAATCTATTGCCGTGGAATTGAGGAAATCTATGAAATGGAGTTTGTATCTCACATGTTATGGGACATCAGCTCCAAATACCATCTGACATCATCATGCTCCCGATGGTATCCTGTCGGTTTGTGAAGTATCCATCCAGCTCAGTCCTTCTGATACCCCTTCTCACGCGGCATAATGTGCACACAACCCATGTCGGCTTTTTCGCCAATTAACTTCCTTTCCTGTGCGTTGATATGTGCTACTTGATGCGTCGAGGTGGATAAAACCGATCACACCTGGACATCGCTCGGTCCGATTCGCGAAACATGCGAGGGAATGTATACATTCGGTGAACTTTCGACTGCGAGCGGAAACTGAGGGCAGGGGGCATTCCGGTACAATTGCTTTTTTCGCGATATTTAGGAAGACAGATAACTGTTCTGCTTTCGTGCTGTCAGTGTGTCTCTCGAACTCTTTATTCCCATCACCATTCCCTCAGATAGATGTCCTTTCTTAGGGATGCACCAGGATGAGCACAGTATGCGTAACAGTCAGTGTGGTAGCGTTTTCTTCTTCTAAAATGCTGGTATTCAGGTTCTCTAATTTTGGTGATGAATATGAATACTTCACTATCATAAATACAAATTTTATTCATCTGGTTATTGCACAATCAACTAAAGTATAGTATTTACAGTTTATCTCATAGTGATAAGTCAGGAAGGGTCGGAAGTAGCACTGTTTTTACTTTCCAAACGCTAGAACCTGCTATCACTACTGTAGAATGCGTGCGGTTGCGGTGCGCTGTGATGCTGCGCACCAATCCTGGTATGGGCGACGCAACCGCACGCACTTCAGCTGTCCTCTGCACGATTTTCTAGTTAGTATAAGGTCATTTGTGAAATTTTCTCACGACAGCAGCGTCTCGCTATTTGTATTGGATGAATGAAAGCATAGGGATAGGTGAACCGTACATTTCCGGTAAGGTCATGGACTAGTCATTGCCTTCATCGTGGACGCAGCCACCTTCGAAAAATTCAGACGTGCGGTAACGAGACACTGTCATCCTACGAGAAGCTCACAATTCACCTTACTGCGATGGACGATTCTCTGTTGCGGATTGATTTCCGTTCTGATCGGAACCTTCTAGAGAGCGAGATGTGGCGGGAGTAGTGCTTTCTCTTGGGTTTCTCTGAAGGAGGCGGACAAGGACAGTAGCCACCATCCTTTGTAGGCGGAGCGCCATCGTTCGCTGGCGGAGCTGGGTGACCTCGTATACCTGATTGTCCATCTCTTCCAGGAGCACCAGGACGCCCAGCCTCTCCTGCATCGCCAGTTTTCCCTTCTAATCCAGGCAAACCTGACCAACCAGGTCTACCCGGACGACCCGGCGAGCCGGGAAGGCCTGGAGGTCCAGGACTGCTTCGTCCAACCCATATGCGAACGGCTATCCCAGCTGGGCCGGGCGCACCCGGCGAGCCCGGCCTTCCACGCGGCCCAGGATCTCCTGGTGGACCGGCGAGTCCTGGTAGGGCATTCATAGGCAGACCTCCAGGGGATCCAGGGAAACCGTTTGGTCCTGCGAATCCTGGTGATCCGTCCGGTCCTGGTTGGCCGGGAGGGCCTGGTTGACACAAGACACAATTTTCTGGATTCATGCTCGTGTAATAGAAATCTGTTCCATCGAGTCCTCTCACGCCCGGCATTCCATCGACGCCGTCATATCCCGGAAGACCAGATTGTCCTTGAGGCCCAGGCGGTCCTTAGGGCAATCGCTAGCGAAAAGGGCGCAGTTGCACTGCCATGCCGATTCATCTTGTCGCTTTCTACGGACATCGTGTAAAATTCGGTCCGATTTTGCGCCATGCGGCATTCGTCAGGGCCTGAACGATTATGAGGTAATATTACTAATTAGTGCAAGTTTTCTCACATGAGGCACCTACCTTGATATCTCGGAGTTCGTGAATGGTGTTATCGTAGAAATGGTTAATATCTATACATATGAAGATGGCGACAACGATAGCGAACGACGTACTCAACGCTGTCAGTGCGAATGTGACCGCCAAGATATGCATCTGAAAGGAAAAATATTTGTTGACATACAGGATTTCGCAGAAAGAAAATCGATTCCAATTCATTAGGCTAGAAGCTACAAGGAGGCAATAGGTTTATCTCAATCAAGAAACTCAGAATGTATGACGCCGTGGTTGGACTTGAAGGCACCTCCCGCGATTACGTCATGGGACCACCTCCTACGAATAAGTGCTCTAGGTCTGCAGCAGCAGTGATAGGGGCCTAGGAGCTTAGCACTTGGACGTGCACTCCTAGAGCCACCACGCACGGTATCTGTGCTCGCTAGCCGCAATGCTCTCGTCCTCGTCTGTCGTCTCCCTACTAAGCGCCCAGTGCCTCTCAGGCTGTTTATCTCGCCAGAAAGGGTCTACAACCGGCCGCTCTGGCGATGTGAAAAATTTCACGATCCCCTTCCAGACGTATCAGTAGAGCCTACTGTATTAGCCATTTATGTCGTCTTACATATTATGCCCGCCATTGATATACGAGCCGTCATGGATATGGCAAGAGTTGGGCTGTGGTAAGTTACGTGCTTTGCTAAGGGGATGAAAATCCAGGCAGCATGAAACTGCACCCATTGAATAGAAGTAATTTCCAAGATTTCGCATGAAGCTAGAGGTGATTGTAATCGCAGCGTTCGGGGTAGAGTAGCGTTTTTAGTACACGGGGTACAAAAATTCAAATCGTTCTCTCTCTCAAAAAGATGTGTAGATTTTCGAAGAAGCTCAATTCTTCGGGAAATTGCCTTGTTGTTCCGTTTTTTGTGCCCACTCGAGTTTTTACATTCAAACATTCAC